CTTTTTTGGGAAAAATTTCCCCCCCCCCCCCCTTAAAAGCAAGACTAACAGGTGCCTTTCTGAGATAGCGTTGAGCACAAAGAACCTGTGTGTGTTTCCAAAGCCAGGATGGCCATTGTGAGGAAGTGCAAGTTTGCTGAGAAAGAACTTGGCTCCAAACCTATAGTTTATTTACAGAAGGAGGTGTGGGAAAGGGAGGATATAAAGTTGTAGGGGAAGCGAAGCCTGGGATTTCAGATTAAAGCAGGGCAGATGTGCCTTGGTTTTCATATTAGAAATGCTCTCTAGCGAAGGTGGAACGTTTTGCAGAGCTGGGAGAAGGCTGATGTGTTGCAAACCGAGCTCTCCCTGCGTTTGGGAAGATGTGGCTGTGATATATTGCTGCTCCATAAAACACCACCAGAGACATTCTGCCATTCATCATAATAGGTAAATCCTCCGAGGCTTGTGCTCTGCAATTAGGAGAGTCATATATTTTCATCAAGTAAAGGCCTATCCCACTGACTTCCAGATGTCGTAGCGTTGAGCAGGGTGTTGGGGAGTGTTTTGCCACCAGAGGGATCTTCAGGTTGTAGCTGTCTGGATCCTTAAGCCCTCCCTTAGCAGTTGTCCAGTTTTCTGGAGGCACTGTCTCTTTAATTGCTAGCCAAGAAGTATTTTGGGGTGCAGAGGGTGGCAGAGGTGTTCTGAACAGTGATTGTCTGGGAAATTATCTCAATTTCACATGAACATATGGATTTTACAGCAGTTCAGTTGTGTAACAGCTGGTTTAGGAAAAGAGAGAGTAGAAGAGTTGAGCACGTATGGACCAGTGATGTATAGAGCTGATGTAGCATCCCCAGGTTTGCTCCTGGTTTTGGATGGACAGTTTGGTCAAGGATACAGGATATCTTTGGTTCTGCTGGTTAGAGTGCATATACACAGAGGCCACGAAAGGATGAGGTAAGTTCTCAGCTGATTTCTACAAAGCTGCAAGCTCCGTTTATCTAGTTACGGTTTGAAATAACGCCTTGCAGAGAGAGGGGCCAAACTTTGCCTCACTGATATCCAAATAATTCCACATATTTTCCACCTGGAGACTTCAGTCTGCCCACTGCCGGTGGCTTGGGAGCCTCTGGCTCGCGTTGGTCTGTTTGTGTTTCATTAAAGAGATTTTCATGTCGCTCCGTGGCCAGAGCAGCTGTGGATGTTGTCGTCAGTTCTTCGGAGCAAAATGGTAGATGAGGTGTTTTTTTTTCTTATCTCTCTAGTATTTTTAGGCGCTTTCGTGAGGAACCAAAGTGTTTCTCCCAACTTAAAATTTATCTTTCCGTCTTAACTCTTCCTCCAAACAACATTGACAGAAAACCCAAACAGCTGCTATATTCCATGCAGGAAACATCCGAGGGGACCAGCCAGCCATCGAGAGCTTAATATCCCCCAAAGAGTGAGCTTCTCTCTGAGTCAGACTCGAGGCAGATGGTTGGGAAATGAGGCAGGGACGCCCCATCTCCAACGGGAGAGGAGCGACCGCGCCGTGGCCATGGGACTTGGCTCATCCTGCAGCTTTAGGGTTTTTTTGGCCGAGCTCAACTGGCAGATGGGGAGCGACAGTGGGAAGATGAGCCTCTTGTTAACATCAACTTACAGAATGGAATTTCCCCTCCAAGCAAATTAACCCTTTTTATTTAAGCAGCTTTTAGGCTTTCTGCTTGGGTCCGTGCAGTAACAGCCGCCGGAAGGAACCTTTAAAAAAAAAATCCCAACAACTCTGCTGTTTGTGGAACGTGGCTGCTTACTGACTCTGAACTCCATTAAAACAGCCTCTCGTAACATCTGGCCTTCTATAGCGTATAAAAATGTTTTCCTTCTGGCAGCAGTTTTTATGGAGATGTAATAATATACGTTTTTGCAGAAAAAAAAAGAAAAAAAAATTCTATTTTCAGATTCTGCTTCTTACAGACGAGCTGGGCCCGTCCAGGTGTGGGGGAGCCACGGTGGGGAGCCCGTGGAAGTAAATGACCCGCTGCCAACTCCCCCGCCTGCCCCAGATTTGGGTCAATTTGCTGATAGTTCCCAAATTCACCGTAACGTGTATGTGTGCGTTTCGCCTCGGTCGGATTGATATTCTCCCTCCGCTGCAACTGGATCCGTTCTCCAGGCAGCGTGTCTCCAGAACATGTAAACAATCTGACTGCAATCTAAAGGGGAAAAAAAAAAAAAGAAATAATAAAATTAAATGTCCTTGTTCTCTTTCTCCCCCTCTTCTAGGTTATCTTTTGCCTTCAGGGTTCCAACTAAATTACATGCTTCCCCAAGCCTGTTAGAGACTTGGCTTATTAGAAGAAACCTGTAGCTGGCCCAGATTTTTAAACTCTACCCTGAGGGAGGGATCTGAACAGATGGATAAGAGAATTCAGTGGGATTAGTCAAACTCTTTGAAGACTGTTCTTCCCACTACATTTTTTTTTTTCTCCCGGTTTTGTTTTCATGCCATCTCAGCACATCTTGTATCAGTTGAGGTTCTTGGGACTGATGTTCCTTGTTCAACAGCTTGTCCGCGTTTAGCCAGAATTTTCATCTCTAGGGCTGGGGAAGATGGTCTTTTCCTCAGCACAGAGCGTGGATGGGCAGCCCTGGCTTCTGGGTGGGCGTTATATGGGACAAATTCAGGTGAAATAAAGCAAGTATTGCTTTCTGCAGCACCACCTCCCAGTTTTTTATCCTAGTGATGAAAAATCTCACCTGGTTCAGGTACCTGCTCCTCTTCAGATGCTCCACTCAGAGCGTGGTATCGTTATACACTTGAGTGATCCAACTCTGAATTTCTACTGCAAAATACTTCCCATGCTTAACTGCTTTGTATGTCGAGGGGAGATTTAGATGAGAGATTAGGAAGAAATTTTTCACTCTGAGGGTGGTGAGAGCCTGGCCCAGGTTGCCCAGAGAAGCTGTGGCTGCCCCATCCCTGGAGGGGTTCAAGGGCAGGCTGGAGGGGGCTTGGAGGGACGTGGTGTGGTGGGAGGTGAATTGTACCTCTTTCCTCCTAATAGTCAGGTAAATGTTGGTTCAGCTTTTTGGTCTAAAAGAAAAAAAAAAAAAAAAAAAAAAAAAAAATTTCTTTAGGTACACTTTCAATTGAGTTCCGGGAAAGATCCAGGACAACAAGATTGTGAAATCTTCCAATGAACTGAGGAATTTTCTGCAAACTAGTTCTATGAAGCTGCCATTCCTGGAGATGGGCTAGTTTCAGTAAGCATGAAGGCAGTGTCTAAGACAAGAAATAATAACCAGAAGAAATTCAACTTAGTATACAACAAGAATACAGGCTTAGGTAGAAGTTTTATTTGAAAAAAAAAAAAAAAAAAAAAAAAAAGAAAAAAAAAAAAAAAGTAAAAATACCTTCAAACTGTCAAATTTCTCTTTTGTGTTATTGCAATAGTTTAAATCATCCCCAGCCTTGCAGGTACTTGTGGGTTTTGTATTCTCTGCACCTTCCCTCTCAGCTGGAAGGTGAATACTGCCTGAGGTGTCTTTTGCCAGGAGATGCTCAGAAGGGAGGATGTGCCCCATGTGCGGTCAGAAGTAGCGTTTGGGGTGGAGATGAAAAGAAAAGGCTGTTTTTTCAGGTGTAGTTCACAGCTGTTGGACTGACAGCACCACCCTTGTGTGCATCTCATCACCAACAACCTTGTTTTCAGATCCACGTGCTGTGCTCCTCTGCTTCTTGGGGTGTTACAGCGTTCACTACTGTAAATCTCCTGTAGATCTACAACCCTGGAGTAGGTAGGAAATGACAATTTTGTGGTGCCTGTCTACACCAGGGATCTACAGCAGGGGGTTATTTTCATTCACGGCTTTTATTACAGTGAGTTTCTGTTATCAATGTGTGAGACTTCGTCTAGTTCTGGGGATTTCTCAGCGGTTTGCACATGGAAAGAAGAGTCACTGTAGGGTTTCAAGACCCACTTCCATCCTTTCTCTGCTGTCAAATTTCTGTGTCACCAACCCACCTGTGTCTTTCCTTTCTAGATGGAGAAGGATGAGACTGTGAGTGACTCCTCTCCACACATAGCCAACATCGGGCGCTTGGTAGAGGTAAGTGCTGTGGAGCCACCTCAGCCTGAGCCTGCTGCAGGTCCTCCTGCCTAAATTTATTCCCACATCTAAGAACTTTGTTATATCCGTGTTTCTGCCTTTACACACGTTATTTATTCATATTATATCAAGCCTAACTGTGCTGATGATGTTGCTTGGGGTTTGATGGCTCCGTGCCCCTCCTGTCATTGCTTCCAACAGTTTGTAGACACAACCCCCCCCCCTCTGCACTTTGTCTCTTGCTCGTTACAGCAGTAACCACCTCCCTGTAAAATCAGTGGTCCTTTCCTCAGCACTAGTTAACAATTTCCTACCCTCGTGCCACTAATAGTCACTTTTGGGCAGAATTATGTTGTGTGACACAGAACTGTCCCTTTTAATTGAAAGCTCAGAGTGTATCAAGCTTCATAAATCCTCAGGAATTTGGTTTATGGCAGCTGTCAGTCACATATGCTTAGCATGAGTTAAGGATGTCGTGTTATATTTATTCTGACTTCTACTCTTCTTAAAAACAGTCAGTTGGTTGCAGAATTAAGTCATGACATGAATGGTTTGCAGTATTTAGACTTTGTTTTAAATTCTCTCTTTCTCTCGACACCACTGGTCAAAATCTAGCTCAGGTACTCTCCTGTATGAAGGTATTCTTGATTTCCTTGCTCTTCATAGCCACTTTGGCAAGAGAGGAGGAAATTCTCAACTAAAATAGACTATAATGCTTTTTTTGAAGGAACTGGGAAATAAAGGAAAGGCAGGTACTTCTTTTTTGATCCCTTTTCTCAGCTTTTTGGCTTGAGTGAAGGCGCCCAATTGAAGAAATGCTGCTTATTTAACAAGATCTTTCTCAAAAGTGTTTTCTGTGCAGTTTTAGTGAACGAGTCACCAGCTCAAAAATACAAAGGAACCCATAAGCACAAA